TGATTACTATATCATTTAATAGGATTATCCTTTAGTATCATTTAGTTAGTTTAGTAAGTTTTCTTTTCTTCTACTCACTATGCAATTTATCTCTCGAATGAAAATGAAGATAACTCCATTATTACTAAGGGATAATAAGTAACGTAAACTACATAGAAACTCGTACAAATTTATGCTTTACAAAGTCGTCGAAAAAATTGTTTGAACACTTGAAGAATTTAATGAGGTTTTGAGTTTTATTTTGTATCTTTGATTTATGGATATGATTGGTAAATTCGCATATGAAGAGTATGTGCTCTTTTAACTATTTAAATTGCATTTTGTTGCATAAAGATAGGATCAAGAGATCAAAAATTAATTTAAATATTTTTATGCTTAAATATTTTCATTAGAACTGAACAGCAAATCTCTTTAATAATAACTATAAAAGTAAATAAGAAATAGAAATATTAAAAACGCACGTTTGTTTGGTCATCCTGAAATTGGGACTACGGCTGCAAGGGGAGAATTTAGCTCTTTATCCTAAAATTCATTCGCAATTTTCAATTAGTTCATTCGATAGAGCAGTATGGAAAACGGGAGTTTTTAATTGGCTTAGATTTCGCCATTGATAAAAATAAGACCGCAGACGAATGTTTTTATCCAACTACTGATAAGTTTGCATCAGTGATATTTACTAGCTTATAGTTCCCACTAAAAAGAAAGAGTTTTTGCAATATCTTTAATATGTAATTATGTTTTATTTGTTTATGTCAGATTAATTCATTGATCTGCATGAACATGAAAGCATTGCCGGATTTAACTGACAAGAATTTAATTATTAATTTTAATTAGATTTAATTAAAAAATGTGATCATGCTTATTATTCAAGAAAAAGTAATAAATGGTGAATAATTTTTAATTTAGAATAGTTAGAGCTTAGTTTACACTTCCCGAAAACTGTAATTAAAATTGTTTTATCAGTTTTTTTTTTAAATTTTTTTTCTTCTCATTTCTGTTTACCTATGAAAAATGGGATTTAGGGTTATGTTTGCTAATATTGATTATGTCGTTTAAAAATATTTATAAGCACTAGTTACTTCATTGAAAAATTTTATTTGCCTTAAAAATATAAGGATTGGAAATAACAGTGGACATGTTCTAAGTGCTCAAATACAGGCGGCCATTTTCTGACTTGAAGAACAAGAAACAAAAGTGATTTGAAATATAAATTTCCAATAAAAAAATGGAAAATAAAGGTGCAACCATTATTAGTTGAGCACTTTGCGCTTTATATTTCAAATCACTTTTGTTTATTTTCATTCACGTCTGGCAAGTCTTGAAAATGGGAGCCTATTTTTGAGCACTTGAAAAATGAGTGATTTTTCTAATTCCTATATTTTTGAAGCGAATGAAGTTTTTAAACAATTATTATAATATTTTGTCGCTTCGTTGCTTTGGGATTATTTACTTAGTATCACACTAGTATATCTGATAGGTATATCTCGATATATTTAAATCCTCTGTACTTTTCGGACACACTATAAGTAGAGAAATTAAATGCAATTTTTATCATAATGCATCAGTTAGTATGTGATACTCATTTTTTTAAAATAATAAATCGAGGTAACAAGTAAATATTCAAAATCATTTACGAAAATCACTTTTTAAGTTTTACTATCAATCATGCAGGTTTATATGTTTCCACACTTTTATTTGATTAATCTATACCACAATAGATTATTGAAATTCTCTGAAAAAATGTAGGCTTATGCTTGTCAATGCCGAAACCTTCTAATAAAACGTACCAGATAAGACATTTTAAATTATCGAGATTTTAAATTATCATGCATACCTTATTGCTTAGTTTCTTAAGCTTATTCATTTCCTGAAATCTTATGTCTAAATAAGAATAATATAAACTATTGTGTTTCAGTTCAAGAAAAGACTTCTCCTAAAAAGATCTATGGTGCAATTTCAATTCTTTTGAGATAAACTGGCTGAATAGGGTTCGATTCTGGGAACAAAGTATAATGAGTCAAATTTGTATACAACAAAATGGAAGAGGATTAAGAATGGGGTAAATAGACGAAAACCTCAGACTCCCTGAAATTATAAAACTTTGATAAGACAGCATTTTCTTTCAATGAGGCAAATCGCAAATATAGAAGGCGCCCACACTGTATTCCAGCTAGTAAGGAACTTATTCTTGGAAATTATGGAATACGAAACTTTCTATCATATATATTTCATATGAACATTATATTTTCTATTATATATGAACTAATATCATATATAGAGAGTGATCATATTCCATAAATGCTGAACAATGGTGGTATAGTCGAATTTCTTTGTAATGAAATATATTGAGTTTTGTTGAAAAAATCGTTATGGAAAGTATTTGTTACATTTAGGTGTAAGAATCATGTATTTTATTATTAAATAAAATGCAACAAAATGGAGCGTAATAAGTTAAGAAGTAAATAATCATGCATTTTTATTAAAATTTCAGTTAAAGCACAATATATTAATTACTTTTTTTCTTATTTATTTAATCATTGATATGAATTGTTAGAAAGTAAAGAAAGGTAATTCATTTATTTAAAGATTCTTCTTCTTCTTCTTCTTTCAAATCCCCATTTCTAGCCTAGCTAGACAAGGTCCATGAGATTGTTCACCTTCAAAAAGTCTAAAACAAGTAAGGGTCTTTCAATTAGATCTTGTTTTAAAAGACCGAGGCAGTCCAGTAGATGTTCAGGGGATGCCTGGGCCGAAGAGCAATTGGTACAGAGGGCAAAGCACTTTTCTCCTCCAGAGTACCTCAGTGATATCAGGTGTCCACAGTGGAGACGTGTGATGGCGGTTTGAGACTGACCGTCTTTGTCAGCTGTCAAACAGCTACCCGGTCTGGTACCCTGGTACCAATTGTGACTGGGTGGAGTGAGCCATGCTGATTGATTTTTGGCTTTAAAGTATGTACTCGATATATGTACTAGAAGGAACTTAAGTTTACTTTCCAGGAAAAATCACGTGATTTAACAATGATTTGTTTTCTTTCAAGATGTTATATTTTCATAAAAGTTGTCACATTTACAGAAAGTTAAAAATAGAAGCAAGCAGGTTCATATGAAATCTATTTTTAACGATTTCGAATGATCGTAACATTTCATTCCAATATTATCTAGACTAGTATTTCCTTTTTGAAATAACTGTCACTTTCCTTTCTTAAAAAACAGGAAAAATTTATTCAGAATCAGGATATTAAACAAATTTCCATCCGCCTTAATGGATGGACTTATTGGCTTGTCATCAGTTTTAATTTTCGTCAGCTAAAATCAATCAACACTGCTTCTCAGTCACTGATTTTGATTTCTGGAAATTACTTCATATATTTCATTTTTTAAATTTTTTTTGATAATTCAGTTAAGGACTTTTTTAGCTTGCTATTTTCTTTTCAGATTTTTGGAAATCTATTTTTTTTCTCATTTGTACAATTTTGTAACATTTGGTATTCACACACTATCCTCACACCTGCTCTCAATATCTCCCATTCTTTTGCCAGGTTATCTTGTTCTAGTTTGTTTCCCTAGTCCTATTAGTCAAGCCTTTTTCATTGTTGAAACTTCTTTGTCATTTTAGTACGCATCTCTGTGTTTCTAGTTTTTCCTTTGGTGATTCGACGGTGAAGTAGAGTCTTTTTTGCTGAACTGAAACTATAATGTGTATGTTTATGTATTATCATTTGTGTTTCTCACTTTCTATTAGTTTTTTTTCTTCATAATATCGGTACTTTAAACTTAGAACAAATGTCATAATATTGGTATTTTTCTTACGTATTTCCCGTTTATTTAATAAGGTGCTGCCCCGTTTATTTAATAAGGTAAGTCACGTTTCTATTCAGATTTAAACATACAAAAACAAAATTTATTTCAAAAAGTTTTACTTTATATGTTAACTGGATTAAACTAAACATCAAATTAAGGCGTTGTCCATAATTATTGCTTGAAATTTACTATCTGTTTTAAACATAAAAGAATCCTTATTAAGCAACTTTGTCTTCATAAACAAAAATATTAATAAAATATCACTTATTTTAAAAAAATATCAAATGTTTAATTTCGACCCCCATGTTAAAGCATATCTCTAAAATAAGATATTCAGTGATAGATAATAGTATTCAGTAGGAAATAATATTGAAAATGTATTCTGAATTAAAATTATTCAGTGTTAAATATTTTATGAAAATAAGTAATACAATTTTTGAACATTTTAATTACGACCTAACAAATATCTTCATAAAAAATTACCTTTTTGAACATAATCTAACTTCTTAATGTATTTAAGATCTATGTAAATTTTCCTGTGAAGTTATAAATAGTGCAAAGGTGGTTAGGATAGAAAATCATATTGAAATTTACCCAGCACCCTAAAAATGAGAGGAATGTGCCAGACAACTTATTCTCACCCAATCAACTGATGGCTCTGTTAGCTTGGGAAAACTGCAAGTCCATGTTTTAAGTTACATGTCAGTTTGTTAATTTTATTCGCAGATTGCGCCTTGTTATTCCTGCTAACGGAAGTTAGCAGACCTATTTATTAAAGAACTTTGTAACTGATTTTTTAAGAAAATGGTAATGATAAACTTGTTCTCTGAAGTAAATTTGTTCTCTGAAATAATCTTTTTCTGTTTTTTTTAAACTGATTTTTCAATTTGATGTCCATTTTATTCCTGCTATATTTTTTTACTATAATGTTCAACTTGCATATATTAGATAGGATATTTCAAAATATAAAGATTTTAAACCAGTTCCTCATTTGACTAAAAGTGTTTTTTGATGATTAAGTGTTTGTCCTTTTCATTGCTTACATTTTAATTTTAGAGATTTAAGTTTCAATAAATAACAAAACTCTCCGAACAAAAAGAATTATTTATTGCCTTGTAATGCATAGAATATGCTATCTAATGAAGTGATTGTGTATGTCTATTGTAATCTAATGAAGATATTTTTTGTATAATGCAGATATTACGCAATAATATACCCCCTAAATGGAAGGTGGACAAAGATGAAAGGACGATTGATCGTTCTTATGATTTGGATTTGCTCATTCACACTCTCAAGTTTTCAGTTAATTCACGGAAAAGCAGAGAAGTTTCTAGTCGGAGGACAAGAAGTTTATGATTGCAATGAAGTTTGGGATGAACTTGAAGGAAAGGTAATTATATTTATCTGCTTAATAAAGATTCTTAAGTACAGTGTGTTTAAAAATTCGAGGTTACAATTGTATGATCTGGCAAGCTACCTAATATGTAATAATTGCATAGCAACCAGTTACCGGAAATGTCATAGAATGCTTCTCTAATATGGGCTGACTGTTTGTGTGCACTTAAAACACTGTCTTAATTTTGTTTTAATTTAATATTTGCAAACAGTTGTGACAAAATTTCCATTCAAATGGGCACGAAAGTAGATGTTTTACCGATATTTAATGTATTGGCGACAAATTTTCGAAATTTGTGATGTGGGTCTTAAATCAAATAAAGTAAGATGTATCAGCTACTTTGAAGTTATTTGAATGGAATTCTTAACAATAACAATTCAAAAATATAAATTCAACACAAAATCAAGATAATTTGGAGAAATAATAACAAATTAAAACGTTTAATAGTAGCATTTATTACTAGTACCGTTTCAAAGATTATTTGACGTCCAAATTTCAATACTTAATTATCTTTTCTGCAGTCTCTTACAGATGTAATCATACCAATCTCCACACTTTTCCTTATATAGCGAGCAAAATTAACGGTCACCGCCAGCTACAGGGCAAATGGAAATTAAAAATTTGTCCGAAAATCACTACCAAGTTGTCATGTTTTCGTCAAAAATGCACCCTATGTACATTTTATTATTATTTTTAATAGCTATGGAATTATTGTAATTATTTATTATATTCTGAAAATTACTTTATTTCACGCTTCATCCTTAACATTATTCTTCATTTAAAAATGAAGATTGTAATGCTTACCATATTTTAATTTAAAAAATGGCGTTATTAATCACATTGGGTTTTAATTCAATTATTGATTGTTAATTGCTTAAAACTCTGAATTTTTTTTTAAAAACAATGGGTACATATTTTTAAGAGTGGCCATTGACAAAAATTATACTATTGGTCATTGGCCATTAGCAAAATTTCCTAATTACTCACGATATTTGTTGACAGACTTAACACGTTGTAAAATTTCAGATTATTGGTAATAAAACACTTAGGAAAGCAAAAGAGCATTTTATTTGAGAAAAAGTAAGCACGATATCGAAGTTTAATGAATCACTAAGAATGGAATGATCATAAAGATGAAACACACTTCGAAAGTCAAATGAACTTTAAAATGTTTTTAATAATTTCTCACCAATTTTGTTCTATTTCCTTTGGCGATCAGCCACAATTTGAAGTTTTTGATGAAATTGTATTATTCTCCTGTTAACATATTTATGATCCAAACTTATTTGGCAATGATTATAAATATATTCATTAAAAGTGTTTTATATGGAACAATCAATCACAACTAAAGTTTTTTATTCCTTTACATTATTTATTTATCTGCTTAAAAATAGATGATGCGTATCCGTTTCGGGGAACCATAAAAATATCGCCTATTAATGACGATAATAATGTTTAAAATTGCGGTAAAAAATACCGTTGGCATTGTGGTAATAAGTGCTGTATTAATGTGATAACTGCCTAATATATTCATGCAGGCACTTAATATAATTAATAGGTATAATTATAAATACCACGCTTTTAACGGCCCCTTTAAACCCGGAAAATACGCATACCTGTAATCTATGTATATATGCATAATCTACAAATGCACAGAATCCTAAAATTTGAAATAAATATTTAATAGTTCGTTTTTAAAACTATTTCTTAAGTTATATTATTTCATAGAAAGTATATTATTCAGGATTTATTTTTTTTTCAATAATCAACTATGAGCCAGTTAACCAGTAAGAATAATTTTAACATTAACAAAACTTTTCCCTGAAAAAATAATTTTTAACATTTATGAAAATCTTGATAAATAATAAACCGCGTTTAGTAATAATTATATATGTTTAAACTAAATGATTGCCTTTAAAAAATAAATTAATCTAATACATTTAGAATTTCAGTTATTCAAAACACCTGATTTAAATACTTTAAAACGTATTATCAATTATAAATGCATTAGTGCATTGCGTAATGAGACTTGTAAAAATACAACAAAATTAAGAATTATAAGTTATTTAGTTATGATAAAAGCCAAAGTTAATAGTTGAAGATTTTTAAAAAAAATAAAGAATTAGACACATAAAGCATTAGTTAAAAAAGTTAAAATTTATTCGACAACTCTACATGTCTTTTCAACCTTAACGCGTTCGAAAATCTAAACTATTCAAATTTCTTCAGGATTTTAATATTTCTGGCGCATTGCCTAAAGGAAGACGCATTCATCCCTTTGCATAGTTAAGATAAACTTATATAATTGCTCATATTTCTTGAGCTTAAAGATGAAATTTTTCTATTTTCCAGAAAATTGAGCCTATTTTTATCTGAGCCTGAACAGCAGAGATAAGTTTTTATCTTCCGTCCCGTAATCCTACCAAACTTTCATTTTTGCAAATTGCTCCTTTTTTCAAGAAATCTTTTGTTCACTTCGTCTTCGCAATTTTTTGGATAAACTTTGATGAGTTTTCTATTTATAGAAACATTCTTCTTTTTTGTAACTTTGGAAGTATTCGGTAGATCAAAAACCAAATAATTCTTGAGAATTCGTGAAGGAAAGGGAGACAAAGATGAAAAGAAAAAGTGTATGAGAAAGTATTTTCCTATTATTTATTTTTTTACCGTCTTTTCTATCCATTTATTTGTCAAGTTTTCCAAGATCAAGATTTAAAATGAGAAAGTTTTCAATAACTGATCAAATTTTCGTTTCGTTTTCACAATTAAAATTTTCATTTTCTAAATATATTTTTCTATTTTCCAGTGTTTTTATTGGATTTGAGCCGTTTTCATTGCGTATACATTTGATCAAAAATTTTAAAACTAAAATCGTTATAATCTTCCGGAAAAAAATTCAAAATAATAATCTGATGCATTTTATAAATACGTATCGTATTAAACGTAGAGTTTCGTCAGTTACTAGATCATTAAATGTTGTTCTTTTTTCTAAAACAATAATTAAACGTTTTGGAAAGTTTTGTATTCTAAAACTCAAAAACTGAAAGAATTTTATTAACTGAAAAATAAGAAAGAATTTAGTCCATGCAATTTTTTTATTTTCTTTTTAGGAAGATACGTACAACAATATTTTTTTTGCTTAATTTCTTTATGATAATGCAAAAACAAGGAGGAAATGTTTTAAGAACATAGAGAATAGTTTTAGTTACCTTTTAAGAACAAAAATACAAACTCTCTCTCTATTTAAGCAAATTTAATTTTAAAAAATAAGTCCTCTTTTTTCAAATGTGCCCCATTTCAAAAGTCTAGCCATAAAAAAAATATTTCACATACTTTAATCGCAGAACCATTTCAAAAGCATTTTAATTTTTGTTAAGTTAGATATATAATTTGACAGTTCAGTAAAATATCTTTTCTAAATTTTGTTTTATTTTAAAAACGCAAAATCATTTATTCTTTTAAAAAAAACAATGGAAAAGCGTTTTTTAGCAAACTGTGGAAAAAAATCTTTTTTCAGACAAACTGACAGGAACTTTTTTCAAACAATTTCCAACATAAACTTATTTTGAGCAAACTAAGAAAAAAAAATAGTGCGTGGAGTCCCTCCGCGCGGAAGAAGTGAAACTTCTTAATGTGTAAATGAAAATAGGAAGGGGTAGAAATTGATTTTTAGTGAAATCATAATGTTTCTTTAAGACAAACTTTATTAACAATACATACAATTCACAATTGATCGCATCTTTTAATTATCCTTTTCGAGTGGAGAGATATCCAAATCTATAACATTTACAATGGGATTATTAGAACTAAAGTAAGATACGAAATGTTTGAGTTCTATTTTTTCAATATTTCTTGCAAAAACTGCATAATGGTCAAATTTGTCTTTAAGGCAGGTTAATAATGTTTCAGCTTCAGGTAACGAGAAATTCACATTAAAATCTCCTGCAAGGATCACAGGTCACTCACAATAATCAATTTCTTCACCAGTAACGTCTGCCAGAGCTTGTGCACCTGCAGTGGATAGTGGCAATAAAGATTTTGCAATAAATAATTTAATATCCCCCATGGCTGCATTTGGTGAAATATAAATGGCAATTAGAAAGGAGAAAACCTAACAATCAATTGATATTCACAAGAGACGTACCTTGATATAACCTTAAATCTGTCGCATTGTCCGTGGGATTGTTTTCACTCATTTTTTACAATTGTTATCCACTAAGTTTGAAAATAAAAAATACTACCCTAGTAAATTATATGTGTATCAAATCAAACTAAAATATTTATTGAAAAACAATACTTTTTTGACTTTTATTATTTTTATGCTAGTGAGAACCAAAACAATATGGAAATGTATGAGGGAAAACTGGATCCTACCACGTGATTTTTCGGCCAATAGAAATGTAGCGTTAAACGTTTAACGCAAAATTGTTGGAAGTCACATAAGAAGTATCACTTCAAAAATAAATTTGAAACACTTATTTTACATTTGAAACATTTATTTTTAACAAACTTAAAATGTAAAACTCCAAGATACGTATACAATAGGGGTGCTCAACCTGCGGCCCGTCGACTGTTTAAGTGCTGCCCGCGAGAGCTTCTGAACACAATAAAAAATAAACAAAATTTTCAAAAATAAAAAAAATGTCAAACATTTTTAATTACACTTTCGAGTCATGTTTTCATGCAGATTCTATAGTAAATGTTGTTTAACGCGCTTTCTTTATGCTGATTTTATAGTAAAGCAGTTATTTCCGCTTTTCAGCATGATTTCGAAAATCCTGAATTTTTATTACGATAATATTAAGACACGCTAGTTTCAGATGGCTCATTTAAATAATCACTTTTTGGCTCACTTTATTTATGTCGATTTCATAGGGAATCTAACAATAAGTGACATTTTATCTTCCTTTTTTTTTTTGAATTATTTTTTCCCCAACCAATTTTTTGGCAGTTATTGCTAGCATTCCTGCGTAGTATAAAAAATTCTGATAATTTTATTACGACATGCGAATTTTAAATCGCGCATTTGACGCGCTTTCTTCGTGTTGAGTTCAGCGTAAATTTAAGTGTTTTTTTTTCTTTCAATTATTGCTATACTGTTCCACGTGATTTTGACGATCCCATTATTTAACTACGATATCATTACGACACGCGAATTTCTAATCGCGCGTTATTTTTCCTTCGTTTTTTCGGCAAAGAATGTGATTTGGTCGAATGTGATAACGAATTTTGATTTGGGTGAATACCCCGCGGATAAAAAAAAAATCGAGAGAATACCGTATATTCGGGACCAAATAGCAACACTGAAAATAAAATTTCAATGCCAAGAATAATATTTTCTGGAAAAACGTATTCGTAAAACAAAGCAAAAAAATAAGGCCAATCAGAAACGCTTTTGAAAATACCGCACTTTCATAAAAACTAAAGATTATATACAAAAGCGAAACAGAGAAAATAAAAATACATCATAATTTTCGAAAGGAAATTTTAAAGCTGAACTTCTCAGTTTTCCAATTACAAGAAAAAGTTAGGAAAAAATAATAAAGCTAACAAAAATGACCTTAAAATTTGCCGCTTTATAATAAAAACGTCGTTTTTTTTATTTAAAAGCTAAATAGAAACAAAAACAAAAAACGTTCTTAATTTTTCAGATGAAAGTCTTATGCTGAAGATCTCAATTTAAATTTTTCACATTGTCATATTTTTAGAAAAAAAAATTGCTATAAAATAAAGTTTATTTGTGGCGTTTATCAAAAAATAATAAAAATGCCTATACAAAGAAAAGCTAATTAAAAAGAAAAACAGAAAAAGCAAATTGTTCTTGGTTCCTGAAACAAAACTTAAACACTGAAAATCAGAGTTTTCTATGTCACCGGTTATCTACATTACAGATGACAATAAATTAATAGTATGAGACGTTCCGTAAAAATGGTATGTTATAATAAAAACAGCGAAAATGAGAAAAAAAATCTTTCTCAATTCTTAGTGTTAAAAGTATCGATAAAAGGACGAAATTGACTTGTCTGAATATAATTTTAAAAAAAGAAAGAAACAGAAGTGCAAAAATTCTCGGTTTAGTATGAAGTAATCTAGTTTCAATTCTTCAAATTTTGTTTTTCCATTTGTCTTCTAAAAGATAAATTTGCAAGCCATGTGCACAAGCATGGATTTAATTATTTAACTAATTTGTGCAAAAACTATTTCTTATAATAAAAAGACTATAGTTCAAAATATGATTTTACATTATTTTTTATCATATCTATACAAATTAAAAAAAAAACTAAGAAAAATACCTTTCTAAAAAGTACTGCTGAATATTTGTCCGTTCATTCGATCAACTGTATTTTTGACAAAAGTGCCCAATACTCGTTTCATCCCTAATTTAAATGGAATAATATTGCCACCTGAGAAATTCATTAAGTGGCAGAAAATGTGAATTTTTAAACAGCTCAGTGTTTGTAATTATGATTTCAATTTTTCGTTGCTTAAAAGATCTTTTTCGGTAGTTAAAGAAAAAAAATACTTTTACGATATAAAAAAATGTAATAGTCAATAAAAAGAAATAATAAAGTACAATAATTATTGAATTTTATTTTGAACTACAACAGTTTTTGTGTATTATAGGCTTTTGTTTTAACCTTATACATTTTCCTCAATTAAAATATTTAATTAAAATTTATATTCCTTAATAAGTTCTACATTTTTTTCTACTTTCATTCTGTGAGCATTGAAGTTTTTTATTAGAACTTATCTTTGAAATGAATTTTTGTATTGTGTGATATAATAACAATAGAATTTTTGCTTAAAAAAAGTATCAGTTTAGTTTTTCATTTTTGAATAAATTCTAATAATTGAGCGCCTTTAATTTTCTACAAATATATTACTAAGTTTATTGATTAAAAAATGGAACACTAATGTTTAAATAAATATTAGTACATTTGCCTTCAACATGTCTAAATACATGTGCAGCCCTTCGTTAGTCAACCTGCTGTGCAAGTGGCCCTTCACTCAAAAAGGTTGTGCACCCCTAGTATGAAGTATACAAGTATGAAGATTTTTGTGCAAAACTTTAATGCATTTATGTACAATTATCTCTCCCATTACGAAAAGAATATTTCTTAAAAAAATTATTCAAGAAAATTTTCCTTATTAAAATAATCGTCTTGATTGTTCTTAATGTACTTTGGATAATAAATACAATACACAAATATCAAGTCTGTTTTGCGAATCTTTAATTTATTTGCACAAAACTGTTTTCTTCGTGACAGAAGGAATACTTTTTAGAAGAATAAATCAAGAAAATTTAAAATGAAAACAAAATTTTCTTAATTGCTTTATGAACTTTGGATAATAAATACAATATATAAATATTTAGTGTATTTGTACAAAATTATTTTTTTTGGGACAAATAAGCAAAAAAAAAAAACTGAAGGCAACTGAAAGGTACAGCTCGACACAACTAAAAAATAGGGAGATAATATTCTCTGATTCCTTACATTTACGTTAGATATTCATCTGATGTTGTTAAACTATCTACTTTTCTTAAACAGAAATTTCCCGTTTTATAAGTAGATATGTACAAAAGTACAAGTAAAATTACTAATTAGCTAACTATTCACCATTCATGAACAAATAGCAACAAAAGTTAATTTTTATAGAATAGACGAAATTTAAATTAACATTTTCCATTTTGGTTTCATTTGTTAGCTATGCATAACAGTTCACAATAGTTATATACAACATTTCACATTAGCTATATATTACATTGTACATTAACTGTACATAGCATAGAACATTAAGTAAAGTTGCTAATAGGCTAATTATGTAACACTCAAGAATAAATAACGATAAAAGAAGGTTGTTATTGAATATAAAAAAATTGAATTGAAATGTCCTGTTTTGGTTTCTCTTGAGAGTAGCTATTTATTACATTGTACATTAAAAAAAGATTTTAGTTAGCTAATTATTATTACTCTCGGTTTACGCAGAAATAGCGACACAATTAAATTGTTATTGAATAGAAAAAAATTCTTTAGAAAATTTACAATTTGGTTTCCATTGTATGTAGTTATATATAATATTGCACATTAAGTAAAGTTTCTATTATGTAATTACTCTCCAATCACGAATAAATAGCGAAAACGTTAATTATTATAGAATAGAAAAAATTTCAAAACAAATTTCCCCTTTGGTTTCTCTTGCGAGTAGCTATGTACACCGAAGAGCCATTACATTATGACCATCCTCCATTTCTAACAATGGGCTCGCACAGATTTTCATGGTTTCTCGCCCAGGAACAGTGTTTTTATGGGGCACATTAGGACCCATAATCCTCATAGAACAATCTCTGACCTCTGTAAGCTACTTGAACATAGTTATCCCATTCATGGCNTTTCTCGCCCAGGAACAATGTTTTTATGGGGCACATTAGGAGCCATAATCCTCATAGAACAATCTCTGACGTCTGTAAGCTACTTGAACATAGTTATCCCATTCATGGCAACCGTTTTTTCTGCGGGGGATGGTGTTTACCAACAGGATAATGCACCATGTCATAAGGGTCGAATCGTCATGGAATGGTTTGAGGAACATTCCAGTGACTTTAAACTCATATCTTGGCCCCCAATTTCACCTGACCTTAATCCAATAGAGCATTTGTGGTCCTACTTGGAAAACCAAATTCGTGCTGCCACGCTACCCCCTCGCAATGTGAGGGAATTGCACGACCAGTTGGTGAGCGCTTGGTAATAGATACCTCAGACAACCTATCAGCACCTTGTGGAATCAATGCCTCCGCGGGTGCTAGCAGTTTTGAGGGCTAAATGTGGCCCTACATGCTATTAGCAGGGTGGTCATAATGTAATGGCTCTTCGGTGTATAACATTGCTCATGAAGTAAAGTTTTAACTATCTAATTACTCTCCATTCACAAATAAATAGCGGGAAAAGTAGCTTTTATGAATATCAATTTTTTTTAACTCCATAAATTCAGAAATCTTAGCTAAGATCGATTTTTTATTTATGTCTATTACATTCTATTTTTTAGGTTTACACATCAGTGGTTTTTATTCTAACGTTTATGGTGCCGATGATAATTTTGAGCTACACATATGGTAGCATTGGCTGCAAAATGTGGAGTCATAAAGCACCGGGTAACGCTGACGTATCCAGAGACAGGCAACAGTTAGCTTCAAAGATGAAAGTAAGCCACTTTTGAATTGCCGATTACGGTAATATAAAATGGTAATGGTAAAATCTATATCAGTATATAATAAATCAATTTTTCTTTCTTTACACAGAGAAAACAAATTTGTAAAATTACTGCACTGTATAGTAAATGTATTTCAGATTACAAGAAGCATAATTCTTGTCAATAAAGTTAAAATATACTGTATTTGAACTATTTACTTGGTTTTTCTTTCCGATCATTCTGATAAAAATTTACCAGAAATTCCGGTTTTTAAAATTATGATTAATAATGCCAAAAATTTAGTAAAAAAATACTCCTTATTGCACAAAAAATAGTCTATTAGCATAATCAATGATTTATAATGACAATTGTTAAAAATTTTTTATTATTGCAAAAAATACGTCGTTTTCATTCATTTATGGTGCAATTAAATTTAATAATAATAATAGTTTTCGTCTAGATACTAGTCGATGCAGCTCAGCACCAATCAAGGGAATATTTTTGAACATAAGTCTTTTTCATTAGAAATTGAAATATGAATTTGGAGTACAGAAGGTTTCAAAATAACTCGAAGGTTCAAAGGTTTCGGTTAGTATTTTGTAATCGCATGCTTCAGAGAAGGAAGAATTAAAAAAAGAGTAAAATAAAAATTTATTTTTTATAATAAATAAGATAATTGTCAAGTATTTTTTTACAATTATGCCTATTTTCATATTAAAATATTAAGGAAATTAATATATTGTAAAATTGAAATTTTTATTTATAATTATTTACTTTTTATGATAGATAAGGAATTTTTGCACAAAAATTTAGCCTTTTTTTAATTTTCAAACGAAAGAGGGAAAAATTTAATGTCAAAAATTATTAACGAACATAATTCATTGATATTTTGTAATTTTATAAGTTATTTAGAGCCATGGTATCTCAGGGAATAGAACGCTCACTTCCCAACGAGTTTGACGTAGGTTTAAATCTTATTGATGGCTGGCCAATGCAAATTTCGCATCCGTCTCGCACTGACTACAATGTTAACATAGAATATCCTCAGTGGAAACCATATCAGGGGTTAGACTCCACTCGCTTTTGGGCTAACCATGGGCTGCTTTCGGGGCTTTCCGGTCCATGTAACGCCAGTGAGAATTAGTTCCATCAAAAATTCCTCTACGAAGACTAATTTCTTTCAATACTTGAAGAATATCCAAGAGTTCCCTTGTATTGTTAAGTAGGTTCAAAATATCTAAGATACGGAGTTGAACATTGGTAGTCTTAAACTCAAAATTAGGTCGGCTGTTTTTATATGTTATAAGCATATTTTATTTTTATTATAACCGAATTTAAATTATAACCGAAAAATATAATCATCTCTTTTATTACTATTCATCTGTTGTAAGGAAAATAATACTTACCCAATCATATTTATCGTTTCTTATTTCAAATTGCAATGTTTTTTGTACTCTAAAATATTCTGACGATATATTTGGGATTTTTATTTCCTACAATAGCAATATCTCTATCCAAAATGATAAAAACAGCATATCTGATTCATAAAAAACAGTTATGAAGAGACTTAAATCTAACATTTAATCCCAAATTAATGAGTTATCTTTTTAACGTTTGGACAAGCTTTTCAGAAAAAATTTTAAACTAAGTATTTTAAGTTTTTTTTTAAAAGGCACGGGAGACAAGATCATTACTTTCTTTCTGTTTCTTCTGCTTTAATCATTATGCTAAATAAAATTAAGTATGAAATATTGACTTATAATAAAAAATAAAATAAAATAAATACATGTTAAATTCAAAATTTAAAATATCATTGATTAAAAAATAAAGTTAGTCGAAGCATTTAAAAGTAAATATTTAATTACTTATTTTTTCAGTAATTATAATTAACAAAGGATTTTTTTTGTTTCAATAGCAATGTTTGTTATTCAATTAGTGAGTAATAGAACCTTTAAAAGAGGAAGAAAATTTTCATAACAGGAATTAAGATTTATTTAAGGAATAATAAATGCATAAATTCGAAAAATTAGAAAAATTATAGACAAATGAGAAAGGGAGGGGGGGATAATAATGAAAAAAAAAACAACTGATTAAAAAAAAGGATTAAATTTTTTAAAAAAACCGGAAAATAAAGGATATAATCTTTTCATCAGCCCACACGATTATATCCCCAAAAAAGAGTGCTTTCTGATATTGTATCAATGTAGCCAAAGTAAAATATATTAATACTATAGTGTGACGAGCACTCAAAAAAAAATTTTTTTTACAAAAATTACAACAAATAAAATAGAACACAATAAGTAAAAATAACACGTAAAAACAGAAAATAAAATACAAGAAAAAGAAAAAACAGTATAAAACAAAATCTATAAAGCGAGTAGCGAAATCAGATGCACTTACATGAACGGGAACTTTTTCAAGAACGATTTAAAAATAATTCTCAATTGACTATCGCCTAATTCAAGGAGTAGTTCTTAAAAGAAAAATTCGAACACCTTAACAGCGCACCTCAATATCTTCGAATATTAAAAAAAATCTAAAAGCGACATTTCATTACATTATAAATAAAGTCTTTTGATTTATTAAGCATACCAAGATGTAATATTAATGACTGTAAGAATTAATCGAAAATTTGATAATTCATATTTCCGTACGATTTTCTCGTTTTTTTCAACGGACTTGGAATCTTGTCCGTACTCGCTGTCTTAAAAATAATAATCCCATTAGTTTAATAATGAGAGCTGTCGAAAATGTTGAAACCTTGAAGTCTTACTTTTCCCGTATGTCATCATTTCTCGTAACAATTTCAGTGAATAAAAAGAATAATTCTTCGTAAATGTAATTTTTTTAATACATTAAAATTTGCAAAAGCGTTTTATCAATTGCTAGAATTACAAAGTTTTGCCGTATTTCTAACCATGCAATTTCAGGTGATCAAATGTAAAATTTAAGCAAAATCCCTAAAAAAAAGTTCTTTTGAAACGAATTTTTTTTAAAAAATGGCGTTTTGAATTTTTATTACTCAGAAATTATTTATTATTATCAGAAATTAATTATTTATTACATGTCAAATTATTTATTGCCTTCATCATATTTTGAAAATGAGAAGAAAATTCTTATTTCTGATAAAAAAAATTTCGAAACTAAGTAACAAGAAAGAATAATCTTAGATAATTAGATTACTGAAAGACTTTTTTTTTGCATTTGACAGCATTTTAAAGTATTTTAAAAATTCTAATTTCTGTTGATAAGTTAAAAGTTTTATAATATTTTAGAATAATGTTAATAATGAACTGAAAGGCTTTTACGAAATTCACCTTCATTCAAAATTATCTTTCAAATTGAGTAACATGAAAGAATATTAGACACGTTGATAACTTGATTACTGAAAGACTTTTAAACATTTGACATCATTTAGAACTATTTTTTTTAATCAGACTTCTGACGATGCATTATGAAATTGAAGAATGATGTTAGAACATGTAAGAATAATGTTGGATACTTAGATTTCTGAAAAACTTTTACGCATTTGATATCATTTATAACTATTTTTTTATGATCTCATTCCTAACGATAAATTTTGAAATTGAAGAATGACGTTAGGACATGTAAAAATAATCTTAGAAGCGTAGATTACTAGAAAACTTTGATGCATTTACATTTTTTCAATGAGAAAAATTCAACGATGCGAAAAAATAGCTCTAACATTCCAATTTCTTGGAGAATTAATTTTCTGTTGCTTAACTATTGTCAGACAAATTTCCCATTATTATTTTACTGCAAATATATGAGGGCCAGCAACTATGTATCATTCAGTTCTTCTGTTACAATGTAAAAATTGACACAAATCTGTTACACGTACACATCACTCTGTCAGCGTCTTTCTAATATTTATTTTAATAAATTCCATTACATCTTTCCTCTAATAATTATGATTCTACAGATGTATATAATTTGGTTTTTTTCAACATTTATTTATTTATTTTGTCGTAATTTCAGGTTGTGAAAATGATGGCCATTGTAGTCATTTTGTTTGCTCTGTGTTGGCTACCAATCCAGATTTTCGGACTTCTCATATATTTCACGCCAAAACTAGTTATGCCTGAACGTGACGAGGATTTTCTTGGATTTGCTGTTGCATTCCTTTGCTGCCATTGGCTATCCATGGCAAATAGTTTCGTCAATCCTCTAGTTTATTGCTTCATGAGCGATAATTTTAGGGTGAGGGCAGCTTGTTACTTTTTTTCATTTTTAGGACTATATATTATCAAAATTGCTAAAACGTTATACAGTTTAAATGATCCGTAATAGAAAGTTCTCTCTGTTAGCATTCAACGCTTTTTGAAACAAGTGAGAATATCTTTTACTGCTCAAACGATTTAAAAATAATTTGATTGAAACTTTATTTTTTTATAGTCTCTTATAAAACAGTTAAATACTGCAATAAATGATAAACAAACAATATCATGCTTAGTTAATTTTGTATGCATAACAATAAAATCATGTATCTATAACAGCTATAATCCTTTATAACAATACAAAATTTTGATATGAAATAGATATGTAAATTTGTGAAATGAGGAAGAACTTATCTGAATCATGGAAGCATAAAATAATCTTAAGAGAATCAGAAAATTATCCTAAAAGTTATGTGATACAGGACTTACCTTTCACAACCTATTGATTTGATTAAAACAAATCTAAAGAACTATGTGGATTTCGATAAAAATGTGACGTGCTGTATTATTTTTCTTTAATTTTCTAACTGCAACTATCTGTGGTAGCTTCGATTTAAAAATTTTTGAATAAAAAGCAGAGATTACGAAAAGAAAATTTTATGTCCTTCTTTTCATAAATTTGCACTATAAATCAAAAAGAATTTTTTTTTATTTGTTTTACCATAACTAATTCTCTGTTATAGACGTTCATAGTCACACGCAGTTTTATACACGCAAGATATCATCATATAATTTAATGTATAATAATAATTTTATAATTTTAATGTGCTGGTGATGGTGATAATTCCACGGAGCAATTTTTTCGAAAATCAAACGGATATATTGAAATGTTGAACAGAGTTTTGCGTCAAATAAGACTGACCATATTTTTAACACAATCAAATTACAGCAAAAAATTTTTAAGGTCCTACAAATATTTGTTTTTGAAATGTTTTACCGAAAGTAAGAACTAAAAAAAACGCCATGCGCCCTAGAAATATCGACATTCCTTATTCTGTAGTTTAATTTTTTCAGTTGCATTTTATTTTAAATTAATTAGCTGTTACAGAAATGGCAATAAGTTGGGAGAATATGTAGCTTACAATAGAATGTGTATGTATATTTTGGTGCAGGTGATCGCTCATGGTAGTATAGGAAAATTCATCATGGAATTTACTTGACCGTACGAAAATACATCCAAAATTATGGTTGTGGTAAGATGATCATCTCTAGGAAATAAATATATATCGTTTAGTGAAAGCTTGATTTATTAATCAGAATTGGTATGATGGATAATGGCCGTAATAACATACAAAAAAACGAAATCCCCTAAAGGGATCAAATCTAATACTCTCACATCGAGTGATCATACAGTCAGAATATCATTTCTGACGGTTAGAAATAGAGACTGGGGAGGCCCGAAAAGGGCTCTCCCAGTCTCCACCAGTTTGAAATTAGAAGTGAATACAATTGTTCCTAACGGACACAGGAGAAGCATGGGTAGGAGATCCAAAATTGGCGATTTATTAAAATATAACATAGCCAATACAAAGCCAACCCCCCATATCAATATTGGGTTCAAAAAAATGCCTTGGCGATCACGAGTAGTCAACAAATTTATGGAAATTATTGCAACCGTGCAACTGAAACATTTTGCGGTTGGAAATTTTGAGTAAAAAGTTTTAAATAGATTTTTTTTTCGATTAGACGCGACAGTGAATTAATGAGTCTGCATTAGAATTGAAATTAAAAGTATCAGTTACATTGATCTATAAAAAAAGAATAAATATTTTATGTTCCTTTTATAAGATTAAGTCTTCGATTTATTTTAAATATAACTCGATTAATAAAAATAAGCTTAGGTAATAAAAGATATTTTAAAGGATAGGAAATAAATATGTAATGCCAATTGTGGCATCACATATATATATATATATAT